TGTTGTTGATCGACATAGTTCCTGTCGTGCCTCCAACCCTTGTTTTATTCGAGCCTTCAACGTGCCACCCCTGCATAAGACGACTGATCTTCGCAACATACTTCGAAGTACCCTCTGGTTCTTTAACATACCCTCTGGTGAACTAACATAGCAATGGAAAATCACCATTTTTAATGGGAAAATCCACTATAAATGGGCCATTTTCGATAGCTATGTTAGTTTACCAGAGGGTAACTCCAGTAACTTGGGTTTATGGTAGTAGTAATAGAATGTAATAGATATATCTAAAGTTACTTGACGTTAATTGGGATCTTGAACCCATTATACCATACCCTCTGGCAACAGTTTGCTATTGAAAATGCATGAAAATGGTCCATTTAGTTCGTTGATGTACCGAACTTCAAGATGGTGATTTTCCACAGCATTTCAGTAAACGTTTACCAGGCCGGCTATTCGTAGGGATTTGCCACATCGAAAAACTCGACACCACCAGTGAGTTGAATACCCTCTGGTAAACATACAAAAAACTATGGAAAACCACCATTTTTAATGGGAAAACTCACTATTTCTATGGCCATTTTCAATAGCTATGTTAAATTACCAGAGTGTATCTCGGATTTGCTGAAGTTGAATATCTTGGTCATCAGATCTGTTCAAAACAAACACTGAAAATCACCCGTAGCAGCAGCTGTGGCCCATTTTCTGGTGCCGCATTGCCACGTCCAAACGGTGAGGTGCTGCACACGCCAATGCCAAACATGCAACCTCTGATGTGCACAGCAGGTCTGTTTCTACAAATGTCTGAGCATATCCCAAAATCCTTGGGGGTCGTACATGTCGCCCGGACTGCCCCACGTCACCACACTACCATCTGCCAAAACTGCATCAAAAGCGAGGTCTATCGCATGGATCTGCTGAACACTCTTGAGCTGATCCCTGACTCCAGCGCCGTCACCACCTTCATCTGGACTGCCCCACGTCACAACACTGCCATCTGCCAAAATCGCAGCAAAAGGCCCACCTGTGGCCTGAATCTTCTGAACACTTCTGAGCTGATCTTGGACCGCTGTGATGCAACCTCCTCTACCTTTATCGCCTGATGCAACAATTTTGTCGCCTCCAACACACCGATCAAGCCTTGCACCGTTCATCTTGAGGCTGCATGCGAATGCGACCACTCAGTTGCTACCTCGGGATTTGTGTGGATTCAAGTAGAATCAGTGTTTATAATGAGCAATGATATGCTACTATGATTGTTGGAAAATTACAATTCGATGAGTTGATCTCAATTCTGATGGAGAAAAGAGGATGATGCTACACCTTCAAGCTCTCCTTACGAAGCACGGAAGGTCCAAGCTAGTAATTTAATTGGCCTGCAAATAACTTCATAGAAGAGAATTTCAATAGAACACACTGAATCAGTTGGGTGGCTATTCCATTTGGAATCTTCGCCCCCCCCGGCATTACCATTTGTACAACTCCGGTTTTGGTTGGCCCATATATATGAATATATACATATATCATCATGTATCTATGAATCCAGATTGACTACAAGTATAAATGGATCCCCCTGGAATGTTCATGCAATTTCCCAGTCGGATGTTTGAACATCACATGGCTGCAGGCAGGAATTGGACAGGGGGCTATGCGCCCGAGACCTTGGGGATGTCACACTCCATGATGCGAATCCCGTCAACTAATGACAAGATCCCACTGTGAATTGGACCATGATGGGTCACAACTCGGTTTTTTTATCGGCAAAAAAAACACCCAAAACATTCTCTTGCCATCTCTGCAATCCCACTTCTAAATGTGAAGTGGTGTCAAAACAATATCTGGTTGGTGGTTTCAACCCCTATGAAAAATATGAAAGTCAGTTGGGATGATGAAATTCCCAACTGAATGGAAATATAAAATACATGTTCCAAACCACCAACCAGATATATATATATATATATATATTACAGGAATAGGATTGCCAGATAATCAGCCACCTGTAGAGTCACCCTACTTACAAGTGATGTATAGTACTGGGATACCTGAACTGAGAAGATTGTTTTCATACCCCAGAAAATATTCCAGTAGTAGGTGCAGGGGTTGGTTGTCACTCAGGGATCGTGATGATCATACAAGTAATTACCAACTACACCAGTTTTCCACGATGTGCCCGGTCTGGCACACACATCTCACTGAAATTTCCCAAGGGAAATGATACATGCCAAATTTCAGGAATGATTCCTGCCCCCAGCCGTTAACCATCATACTGCTAATAACCAAGATTGCCAACATATCGTCAATGGCCATTTTAGGAACCTAAGTTGGAGGTACCTACCATATATAAGGCTTATGTAAGGCCTATGCAAGGAAATATCCCCACAAAATATGGCCTTATATGGTACAGTACCTCCATTTTAGGATCCTGAAATTCCCATTGATATCAGAAATCAGAAATCAAGACTATCGCCAAATCAGAAATATCTACACTCCGGGCATGAAGAGCAATCCAAACTCATGTATATACTGTTGGGGTAGTTCCCTATCTATCATGAAAAAGCCAGAAATTCCCATTTCGTCTTACTGGTGCTAAACGTCGGGAATTTTCGGGAATGATCCACTGGCTAACTATCAAGCAGATCATCCCGGCAACCCCCAGCAACCCATCCAGCCACCCTACGTTAAACGCACCAGTTAGTAGTTCGATGATTTTCCCAGCGCTAGCTCCATGTAGTTCGGGGCTCCCTGCACTTTTTTTTGGGTTCGTTGATCCCATAATGAGGCGTTTGTTTTGGATGTAAAATCCATCACCGAAAAACCCAAAAACACAACCAAAAATCTAGATCTGCACTTGGAAGTGCAGTTCCACTCGTAAGTGGTTTCGATTTCACTTTTTGTTGTAGGGGCACCATATCCCAACTGAAGTAAAAATCCCATAGTCCTACCCGTTAAAGTCACCTCAAGTCGACCCCCAAGTATGGCCGGACTCCAGACCAGTCGATTTTCCAAGTTGGGAGTCCCTACACCAACGATTAGCCCAGTCTTCGTGTCCTGAACGCTGACACAACATGTGGAGGTGCGGATTCCAGCTGGCAAATGGCTGGCAAAACATCTTAGATCTTGAATGTATAACCCGTGCACGGTATACACAATATGTCACATATATATATATATATATATGTGTGTGCAAATATAACTGTATATAAATATAATGAACACACTATCCATCTTAGAGCATATACTTGGAAGATCACTCCACTTACATAATAGCTGGTTAGTAGCCATAGTTAGTTAAGCCCCTTATATGTGGTATACCGTATATACCCCACGAAATGGGTATTTACAATCACCAGAATTATTAACAATTTACAAAGTGGGATGATCCTCCAACTATTTATATAAGCCATAGACAAATGTTGTTTTAAAACTCACATATATATATATATATATAATCTACATATAGCCCGTGAAGCTGGGGATATTCCTCCTATAACTGGGATTACACTACATGCCTATGAGCCACAAAACAAAAACATACAAGAACCATGGGATGCACCTCCAAGAATGGTTCTCAGAAAAATCCAAGATTCTGGGCAAGATTCTGGGCAAGATTCTGGGCAAATCAATGTCACAAATGAACAAACACAATTTTTTGAAACACCAAAAAAAGGCTATGAGAAGCCCCAAGCCAGCCCCAAGTATGGCTAATAATTAAGCTGATCAGTCTCCGCAATCTGTTGTGGATACCCTCTGGTGAACTAACATAGCAATGGAAAATCAACACCCATTTTTCATGGGGAAAATCCACTATTTCGACTGGGCCATGGCTTCCAGTTCGCTTTTTGTATGTTCACCAGGCCGGGTACATCAGCATTTCTGTGGAACTCATTGGCAAAAAGACATTTCAAGAATCCCACGATCTGATGCTGAAAAATCACCCAACCTGGGTAACATCGAACTCATGGTTGATCCGCCAAAACATTGGAAAACCATAGGAAAACCATAGGAAAATGGTGATTTAGTGGTGATTAATCTATGATTTTCATGGTGATTAATGGTGATTTACCCTCTGGTTATGACATTCACAGTTCGCCATGGTTTGTCGATGGCCCGCCCATCGAAACAGAGGTTTACCGAACTTAAAAATGGGTGGATTTTCCATGGCGAACTGTGAATCTCATTTCACCAGATTTTTAAATCACCATGATTTTTCCCAGTTTTCATCCTATGAAATCTCCCGTTAAAAAATCACCATCCCAGGTGGTTTGCAAATTCCATGGGTTCCCCAACGTCAAAGAGGCGCCACGTGAGCAGGGCCCAAGCAGCCAAGGTGCCGGCGATCAGACCTGCGAAAGGGTCTTCCCCACGCGGGCGTTGAGATTCTGATGAATATGGGGTTCCCATTTGGGTCATACATGGGTTATAGGTGTATCAAACATGGTAATTTCTAGTATTTTTTTTGGAGTAACTTTTTTTTGGAGTATCACATGTTTTTTTAAGAGTAACTATACTTCAACAAATCAAGTTCAAATTGTGGATATGACATTATATATTTAACCAGTTCAATCATGAAGAAACCATATGAAGCCATAGTGTTTCCCATCAGATCCCACCAATTGCAGGGGTTTGGTTGCCTTCCTCTGTCCTTCATCCAATTCTGCGAATGGGTAGTGTTTTTTTTGAGGCAAGGAAAACGTAGGGAGTTTAACTCAACCATCAGTGCTAGATACTTGAGCCTCAAATCAACAAATCCTATTGGACACAATAGATGTTCATCGATTTTCACTCCATGGGGAAACCATACACAGATCCTCCTCTAACAGCCGCAAAGGGGTTAAGTCGGTTAAGTCATTGGGTACCCTCCGACTAACACTTCGATGTGGGCTGACAACCCACAATGAAAAAACAAAAATTGCATATCATTTTCCTAGGGAAACTGTGGCTTTTCTACATCGAACCATGAGTTTACCCCTTTGACCGCGATCGTCTGCGGCCGCCCCGTGGTTTTTTTTCGTCGCCGTTTCGGGCGCTGTCCGAGTTGTCATGTGGGCGCGTTGGCGACCGGGGCGACCGGCGGGAGGAAAAGGGTGGCCACCGAGGCTTCGATTTCCAACCGGAGCCTGGAAACAAGGCGCTTCAGTCAGAAAACTAGGGTCATTTTCAGGGATATCCTATTATTATATGTAAAAAATATGGTAATCATATGTCACAATAATATGATATGCATATGTTAAAATGGTAATAATATATGGTAATATATGGGTAAACCTCCAAATATATGGTAATATATGGTAATAATAGGTTTTGACCCAAATTATCCCAAAGATTTATGGGGGAGAGAACTTGTGGGGAGATAGTGTTTTTTTTTATGTTTAACTATCATTTTTCTTTATGTTTTATAAATTTGGATTATCGTAAAGAATTGTTGTCAGAAAACCTGGGTGATTGAAGGTACCCTCCGGTTCAAACGTGGTGGAGACAACTTGGGGATGGTACAGGACGTGGGAAGATTGGGAAGTGGGCCGCAAACCGCAAATAAACCCCAATGATCTACATGGGGTACTTATGGATATTCAGGGATATTCCATACACAAACTTAAGGTCATTTCAAAGCTTGACCCACTTTGAAAATCTTTGAAACTGGGACGCACATCCAGGTAGTGTGTGAAATTCTCCAGGGCTATATACAATTTTCTTTGGGGATATACCCACTAACAGAAATCGATGCGGAGTTTACCCACCATGAATGTAGATCATAGATCGTTTTCCCAGGAAAACCCATGGGTTCCCTAGGAAATGTCATCTTCAACCAGCCGGATCTCATGACGTGGTATTTCGTATCCCGGATCCCATCATCTTAAAACATCTTAAAACAGCTTAAACCGTGGCCCCCAGTCGATAGCTAACTAAGGTGCCATATAAGTGGCTGAATTCTATGGTCTATGGTATACATAACTATAATTTATGGTGATTATACCCTCTGGGACATAGGTCCCCTGATAGCCCAAGACTCGCGCGGGCCCGCGCGGGCCCGCGGGCTCGCGGGCCTGCGGGCCCTCCGCGGGCCCTCCGCGGGCCTGCGTGGGCTCCTCCGCGGGCCCGCGGGCCCGAGGGTCTTCCGCAGGGCGAAGGTCTTCACGTCAGCATTTTATCGTCTATATTTTCTCGCATTCTGTCTGGCATCTGTGTCTAGCAAATCTTTTCCGGTTTTTTTTCTGCCAATCCAACATATATTTTCAAATATATTCTGGCATAAACTGACATTGTCGGACCCGCGCGTTCTATCTGGCATATCTTTTGGCATACTATCTGGCATATGTGTCTATCTGGCTATCTGGCATAACTTCTGACAATTCAAGGCTACCATGCTATCCGGCATCTCTTTTGGAATTCTTTCTGGCATACGTGACTATTGTGTCTTCTCACATTCATTGTGGCATTCTATCTCACCCAGGCGCTTGTGATCCAGGTCCGCCGGGCACCACTCTGATCCAGGTTTTGCGGTTGAGGTCAGGCGCGGCGAGGAGGACAAGAAGGAGGAGAGGAGTGGCTGACATAGAATCTCACAACCCGGAACATGCAGGTGAAGGAAAGACACTAACAAAGCGAAAGAAGCACATGGAAACACGATACAGGCAGACAGTCCTTGTCCGCTATGGCGTTTTATTCAATCAAAGGGCATGGTCACGCGGTATGAAGTTCCAAAGCTTCAAAAAATGAGGGAACTTAAATCATCTTAACCTTTCCGTGTGGACTGAACCCTTGCCTGTCACTACACTCCACTACACAACACTACATTCCACTCCACTACACTCCACTACACAACACTACATTCCACTACACTACACTACATTACACTACACTTCACTACACTACAACTACACTACGCTACATTCCACTACACTACACCACGCTACATTACACTACATTACATTCCAGGACTCTCCACTACACTCCACTACACTCACTACATTCCACTACACTGCACTACATTCCACTACACTACGCTACACTACACTAACTACAACTACTACAACAACTACAACTATACTACATTACACTACGTTACACTACACTACACTAATTACACTACACTACACTCCACTACAATACGCTACAATAAATTACACTACACCACACTACACCACACGCTATACTACACTAACTACAATTACAACGACAACTGCATCTACAACTACAATGAACCACACGCTGACTACACTACACTACAACTACAACTGCGCTACACTAATTGCATTACACTACACTACACACTACACAACACACAACGCACTACACAACACACAACGCACTACACAACACACAACGCACTCCACAACACACAACACACAACACACAACACACTACACACAACACACTACACACTATACAACACACTACACTACTTACTACACACTACACTACACACTACACACTGCACACTACTCACTGCTCACTACTCACTACTCACTACTCACTACACACTACACACTGCACACTACACACTACACACTACACACTACACACTACACACTACACACTACTCACTGCTCACTACTCACTGCTCACTACTCACTACTCACTGCTCACTACACACTACACAATGCACACTACACACTACACACTACACACTATACACCACACACTACACACTACACTACACCACACTACACCACACTACACCACACTACACCACACTACACCCGACATAGGTCCCCTGATAGCCCAAGACTAGCGCGGGCCCGCGCGGGCCCGATGAGGGAACGTAAATCATCTTAACCTCTCCGTGTGGGCTGAACCCTTGCCTGTCACTACACTCCACTACATTCCACTACACTACACTTCACTACACTACAACTATACTACACTCCACTCCACTACACTCCCCGACACTCAGTTACACTACACTACACTACATTCCACTACACTACTCTACACTACACTAACTATAACTACTACAACTATACTACATTACACTACGCTACACTACACTAATTACACTACACTACACTACACTACACTCCACTACACTACAACTACACTCCGCTACATTCCACTACGCTACACTAAGCTACGTTACACTACACTACACTCCACGACACTCCACGACACCCCCCGACGCACAGTTACACCACACTACACTACATTCCACTACACTACGCTACACTAACTACAACTACTACAACAACTACAACTATACTACATTACACTACGCTACACTACACTACACTAATTAGACTACACTACACTACGCTCCACTACACTGAATGACACTACACTACGCCTGCAACTACAACTACAACTGCAGCTACACTACTTTACACTTTACACTAATTACATTAGACTAAACTACACTGCATTAAACTAACTACAACTAAAACTACAACTACAACTACGTACAACTAACATCAACTAACTACCCCACTCCAGTACACTACACTACACCTCACTACACTACACTCCACTACAGTACACTACACTAAATTACACTACATCACACTACACCACACGCTACACTACACTAACTACAATTACAACTACCACTGCGCCTACAACTACAATACATTACAGAAGACTACACCACACTACAACTACAACTGCGCTACACTAATTGCATTACACTACACAACACACAACACACAACACACAACGCACTACACAACACACAACACACAACACACAACACACAACACACAACACACTACACAACACACTGCACTACACTCTACACACTACACACTACTCACTGCTCACTACTCACTACTCACTACCCACTACTCACTACACACTAGACTACACCACACTACACCACACTACACTCCTCTGATAGCCCAAGACTAGCGCGGGCCCGCGCGGGCCTACGCGGGCCCGCGGGCCTCTGCGGGCCCGCCGCGGGCTCACGCGGGCTCCTCCGCGGGCCCGCGGGCCCTCCGCGGGCCCGGGCACACGGTGGACCATAGCCACCCTCTGGTAAACATACAAAAAGCTATTGAAGCCATGGCCATTGAAATAGTGGATTTACCCATTAAAAATAGTGATTTTCCATAGCTATGTAACAGTTTACCAGAGGCTAATGTGTATAAACCAACTAAAAAAATTGGGGGGGGCCCATCCTGCACATTGAATCTGGATTAAAACAATGTCATTTGGGACAGGGTTCTGCTAACCATCATTTAACTCGTGATAACCATGTCAGCAGTAAAAGTGTGTTCAAAATAACTATATGTTAGCCATATCACATAATATCCCATATTGATCATAAAATCGCGTAACATATCCGCGTATCCCGTTGTATCACCATGATACACCTGAATCGTGGATTAGGTCTATAATAGCATATGTATATATATACAATTGTATATGTTGTACATAAACATACCCTGGATCAATATATATATATATATATCAATATCAAACCAGGCACCAAGTATATAAACATGGGTAAATTATAATATTTCACTAATGTGAATTAAGGCCATTTGGGGATGATTTCCCTTACTAACCATGATTCCAGTGAGGTCGCAGTGAGGTCGTTATAATTTACCTAGCTGCTTATTAGCCACTTATATCCAGCATGTTCCTCTCCTTGATGGATTCATACGGATTCTACCTACAAATCCAAGTTTTCTTAGCCGTGTTCTGTTCACCAAACCTAGGGAGTTGGTTGCTGATGTCCCATGATACCTAGGAGTTGGTTGCTGATGTCCCATGATACCTATGGGAAAATCTATAGGACACCATATAGTTATATAGTTTTTACCATCAAATATAGGGGTTTCCGGTTAAATTTTTCCCATCCTCCAATTCTGTGAATTTTCCGGCCAAAAAACTGCTGGTTCACCAACAACCTAAACTGGGACACCACCCTGATACCCTGGTTCAAGGAACGCGAGGTCCAACTCCAGGATCGCATCCTATCGCGATTAGAAAACATGGGGATTTAACTGAATTTAACGATCAACATTTTGATTTAGCCAGCAAACAGTTGGGATTTAAAGGTATCATAGTTAGCTAAATTGGTTTATAACTGAGATAGCTGTTGGGTTTATGGTACATCGAATTAGTTCATGATGTTGGCAAACCAACAAACAGAACGGGGGGAAACTCAAGGAGCGTAGCTTCTTGACTCCCGTTTCAATGGGGAATATGGATGCCAAAAAGGCTCCTTTGCCTCCTCCAAATCAACGAATGGACATTCAGAATCTATGATAATTATGATATTATAATGATATGTAATTAATCATAGTATGATACTTAAATATATTGTAACATAATTTCCATCATCCTTTTGCGTGAATTGGGTATGGATACCATGATACTGTGATTGACACCAAAATTTAGCTGGTGCCACCCTTAAAGTGTACGACCCATCCCCGATTATGATAATGTCGAACCATTGCATATAGACTTTCCCCCATCTTCCCCCTGTGGGATCCTGGCTATTTTTCACCTGCAGCACCTCTGTGGGACCGACAAGTGGGAAGCGTCAACACCTTCAAACACTAGTCAATGGTCAGGAAGGTACTTGAGCCATGACAAAACCCCGTTTTCCCGTCATGTAAAATACTATGTTAATTATACTAGTTGCTTGGTGAATATGCTATTCTGGGCTAGTTCATACTGCCCAATAAGCCAGCTAGCATATCCTGACCACCCAAATATATTTATATACCTCCATAAGGGTTCAAGCATCAAAATTGGAATTTGCGGGGGTTCTCAACATGCGGAGCCCAACTTATCAACGTCATTCTTCACCATCTTTCTGCTTGGACGGCAGTTCCGGTGCTGCCCCCATATACCTAAGTTGGTTGATGATAATTAGAACTATGAATATCTTGAAGTATCATAGTTAATTAAGATAATCATTAAGATAATGAATGTCAAAATTATACCTAAGTTGGTTGATAATAACTAATTAAGTTAAAGGGACTCCCAAAAATAACAAATATATTCTATAGAATAGATTCCCCAGTCCTTTCCCATCGGGAAACATCATAAAACAAACATCTTCAGCAACTCCAAGGTATTCATGGTGCTTTTAAATCAACAAGCATCACTGCAGGATGGTGCCCCCCAGTTATGTTTGTTGGTTTATAAACCCCATGAAAAGTAGTTCGTTATATCTGCGATAAACCATAGTGAAATGGGAGTTATGTGAACCCCAACAAGTCGCGATTTAGCTCACTGGGGCACCTGATCAGGCGATTTTCGAGCGTTGCTGATGTGAGGCAACCTCAAAGCGGGCCGGCGTGGCTCAAAGCGCCATGGCGCAAAGCTTTTCACCGTTTAAAACAGAGGGAACTTAGATGGGCCACGGGATTAACTAACTAGTTAGTAACTGAGGGTATAACCCTCTATATCCCAATTATAGTCCATTTACTAACCAATTAACTAACTCCATGGCCCATCTCAGAAACTCGCCATTGATGGTGAAAAGACATGCAAACACGGCGCCTTTTTAATGCCTATCATCACCATTTTTGGACATTTTTTTGAATTACAAATCACCTCACCAAAAAAGTGAAGCAAATTTTGATGGTCTCATCACCATGAATTTTCATGGTGCCCTGGCCTTACAACTTCTCTTCGGACCAAAAATCCAAGAATTTGGCTAAACCTTTGGGCCGATCATTGGGGCATGTACCATAAATTTAGGTATATTTTAGTAGCAAATGACATCACTGCTTGGGGATATCCCCTACTTAGTCTAGTTATGTCTAGTTAATCAACCAGGCTAGAGCCTAATCCAAGGTGGACTAACTGGAACTGCAGTCATCTTTCCAGGTTTACTCTTTGGTTCACCCCAAAAACCAGCGTTGGATGTTGCCCATCATTTGGGGAAGTCATTTGGAGGTGACAAATCCCATAAACCCGGCAAAACGGATCTATTTTGGTGGTTGACCTACCCCTCTGAAAAATGATGGAGTTCGTCAATGGTTTTCGGATGACATCCCAAAACATGTTTGAAACCACCAACCAGGGATGGTTTCATGCTAGAAATGCCATGCCCAGCTGCCCAGCTGTTCTGAATGTCGGTGCAGCCATGCGGCGCGCCAAGAATCTCCAGATCTCCATAGACCCTGAGGGTAGGTAGACTTTGTGGCAGAGCCCCATTCTATGGGATTTTTCTGTGGGATTTATGCAATTGCCCATAGTGATCTTGGGATTTATGGGATTGTTGGGAGTTCAGCATCAAACATGGTGACGGTTTTCGGGATTTTGATGGAATGGAAGTCATTGGGATTGTTGGGAGTTCAGCATCAAACATGGTGATGGTTTTCGGGAGTTTGATGGATTTTGATGGAATAATCTTTGGAATAATCATTGGCATTCACCATTGCCGGCTGTTTTCAGAATTGAGAAAGGTACCATAGTCGTAGCATTTTCGTCGCAAATCGCTGGAGGATTTGGATGCTGGGGATACTTCACCCAGAGCCATAGAGCGCCCATTCTCCCGTAGGACTATGCCATATCAATCCATATCAAGTTTTTTTTAGCCCCCAAAAAAATGGAAACGCATTCGATCCACCGGCAGTAGGAATTGCGGTGCCAAAATGATGTTGTGGATATAGCAACTAGCCTATTGTAAGGCAAGTTTACGGTACCTCCTCCTAGGATTCACTTTCTGTGAAAGGGTAGACTTGACGAACGCCAGAAGCGACTAAAGGTGCTGCCCATACCACGATGATCCGCAAGAAACGGGTGCGAACTAAGCGAAGAGCAGACCACCGCAGGATCACTGGATTTTATGGTGAAGCTTGGCATATTTCACCCATGAGCAGCCTAAAAAATCAACGGAACAATCACTGGGAGATGCTCATCATCCCATAGACGCTTATGGCCCAGGGCCAGCTGGTAGCTTCCGCCCGTTGCAAACAAAGGTGCAACGCACCCGCTGTCACCGACACACGCTGGACATGGCATTTGACCTTGGAAGCAGCGCAGGGTGGCCGTCTCATGCTGGTTCTATCCTCAAAATGGTGGTTTTTACTGGGGTATATGGGGAACATATGAGTAGCGGACACAATTATATGTTATAAATTTAATGCTATGCACAAATTAGGGTCGTCCCCTTTCGGTTGTGAAGATTTCAGTATTCCCGGAGGTTATCACAAATGAGGTACCGGTATAGGGTCGTCCCCTATCGGTTATGAAGGTTTTGTGCAAGGTAACCTCGGAAAGGCCAAGGCAAAGCAAAACTAAATTAGTATTACAATCATTTTGTCGGTTACTCATATGGGAGAATCATCTACAGTATATATATATTATATATATATATATGTAGATGTGATATTTTGGTAATGCTTGACTACCAAAGAGTAAACCTCCTTTGATGGTGTGAAAAACCCTGCAAAAGAAACAAGATCTCAGAATTCGAACTCCCATCTCACTCTCCAACGTTACGGGGAACCCCAAGTATGCTTACCCTGATCATAAGTCCCCCAACTATGGAAATCCATCTGTAAGTTTCTGTTGGATAACTGGCCAAAAACAACAAATTCAATCGCTATTTCCCATCAGTTGCCCCAGTGAATCACCATTAAATCACAATAAATTCCAGTAACTCACAACTGAATACAATGAATGTACAATAAAAATACCATACACATACCATTCAAATACCATAAAACATATATACCATAAAAAAAAATCCATAAACATACAATAAAAAATGCCATAAACATACCATCAAAAAATGCCATAAAATACAATCAACAAATACCATAAAAATACCATAAAAAATACAATAAACATAATATACAAAATACCATACAAATACCATAACAAAATTACAATAAACATAGTATACAAAATATCATAAAATACAATTTAAAACGATAAAAATACACTAGAACATACCACTAAAATACCATGAACAATACCATCAAACATACAATAAAAATACCATTAAAAAAATATCATACAAATACAAGAAAACATACAAATACCACAAACATACAATAACATATACGATAAAAAATAACAATACAATACAAATACCACAAAAAATACCATTAAAAAATACCGTAAACACACAACATTTTCCCCAACAAATCCAATGGAAATCCCATAGATTCAAGGCACCATCACCATCTCCCCGTCCAAGGTGCTACACCTTCGATGCCGCAGCCGTCGGGACTTTCAAAGGCGGCCATGGCCACACGGAGCCGTGTCACCTCATGATTTTCCCAAGATTTTCTTTCCGGATTTGTATCACCAGTGATTGAAAATCATGGGGTTCCAATAATAATCATGAAAATTCCCCGATCTGATCATGGAATGATAACTTTCACTTTTGCGCCCACAAGGGCAACTTGCATCATCTTGCATCTCTCATTGTAACCAAAATGACGGAAAATGAATGATACTTAAATTAGCTCAGGGTCACAGGGACACTGGCCAACTTCAACTCCAAAAATTGCTCGTCAGTCAGAATCATCACATATTTTTAAAGATTTTAATATCGCAACTGCCGGGATATTCCTTTGTGTCTTCTCATAGGTTTGCAAAGATATTTCTCACCGGGAAAGCGATACCTGGGGATTCTAATCAACATCATCAAACACAAGAATTGAGAACCACCATGAATCTGCATAACGTATATCCTCATCCTCTGGTAAACTAACAGTTTGCTATGGAACATCACCTTTTTGAATGGGTAAATCAACTATTTCTATGCCCATGTTCAATGCTATGTTAGTTTATCGGAGGGTATTCACCAAGCTGAACAATTCGGCCACGCTCGGTCGTGATCAAACAGATGCATATCATTAAATGCCAACAGTTAATGGTTAATGGTGAATAATTCTGAATGGTTCAAAATATGTTTTCATGAATTTCATATCCCCCCATTTTCCCCTCGTTACCCTCTGGTAATTTAACATAACTATGGAAAATCACCATTTTTAATAGGTAAACCATCTATTTCAATGGGCCATGGCTTCCATAGCTTTTTGTATGTTTACCAGAGGGTAGTGCGAAGCCATCTATGGTATCTACTTGGCGGCTCATCCCACTTAGTATGTGGGTTAGTTCACCCCAGTTAGAAGAGGATTCACTCTACTTATCCCATGAAAATAACTGGGGTTCTACCTCACTTACGAGCCGTGGGATGAGCCACCAAGTATTAATAGCTATTGAACATTCCAAGATCTTTCCATTAACATTCTATAGTTTATAGCCATTAATGTAAAATCCCATCAACATTCCATAGTTATAGCCATAAAGCCATCTATGATATCCAAGTATGTGTCCGTTATCCAGGAAGGTCACCTGCAAAACCGGCCAGAGATTTTCCACCGGCGCCGAACGCCGAAGCACCCAATCATCCCAGCCAGAAAAGATCTGGCGCCAGTAGACTTGTGCCTGGGCTCAGCAAAAGCGTGGCTATATGCTATAGTAAATGGTAATGATAGTTAAATGATAGTTAACCCTGGTTAATATACTGTTAATGGTGGTTAATGTATGGTTATTATATGATATGGTTAATGATGGTTAATAACATAGTCTGGTTGGTGGTTTCAACCCCTCTGAAAAATCTGAGTTCGTCAGTTGGGATGATGACATTCCCAATATATGGAAAAATAAAAAATGTTCCAAACCACCAACCAGAATAGGTTTCCAAGAGATCCGAAATAGGTTGTACCAGTAGATTTGAAAAGATATCCAAAAGCAATATCACAATCCTGGAGACATGCTGTTTCTCCTTGAGAACGAACATTCTTCGAAAAGCCAAAAGCCATCGTTTTTTCCGACAAAAACGGCGGCTTTCCATCGACCCGGCCGGCGTTTCTGTGACCATCACATCCGCCGGATTCCAGGGATGGTCTGTAAACAAGTTGGTTCGGATTGCTTGAATCACCCATACACGGTGATTAAAAAAAAAAAATACCATCTGGTTATTTAACATAGCCATGGAAAATCCCTTATAAATGGAGGTTTTAATGGGTAAATCAACTATAAATGGCCATTTTCCATGGCTATGTTAAATAACCAGAGGGTAATTAAGTTGGTTTCAGTACTGAAACCAACCCATCACTGACCCATCACCAATGGCTTACACCCCCTATTTTGATGCTTACTTCCCTAGCCGTCGAGAAGGAGCAAAGCACATGAGCAACTGGTTAGCTTGGTGGTTCGGCTATCATCTGAAAAAATGCGAGGTAGTCATGATCATCATCCCGTGTCTATGGAACCTAAAAGATACCTAAATTGACTTTTAATTTGGTTGACGATGGTTTATTGACATCATGGGCAAGGATATATGATATATTATGATATATTAAAAATATATGTATATGATATAATTAACTATGTTCATGGGGTGAAACTAAACCAACAAACAACCCTGGCTTCAACATTCCCAGCCTCACAACAACTTATCCTAGGGTAAACATGGCTGATTTTCAATGATTCTCCACATCGTGTTGTGTTAGTCTACCCTAGGGTAACATGAACCTTAAAAAAACTCAGTGGTTGGTGGTGCAATAACCATCTTGAAAAATATGAGTTCGTCAATGGGAAGGATGACATCCCATATATGAAATGGAAAATGAAAGCCATTCCAAACCACCAACCAGATCAAAATTTCCCCTGATCTTGCCTGCTTGAACCGTTCAACCCTGTCTTGGGTGGTAAATTGATGTAAATTGTCATCTTTTCGGTGCTTAAGTAAGCATTCCCCATTCACCTTGCAGTTGACCACTTTAACACGGCCCTGAATCTATCTGAATGACATCAAAATGGACTATCGCCATCCCGTAAATGGAAAATGCAAGATAATAACGTAAATTAAACCCAGAAACATACTGGAACATCCCCAGTTATACAATTATATATATATATATACATATATATACATACATACATATGGAAGTTCCTAAAATAGGGGTACCCCCAAATCATCCAGTTTAAAAACGGATTTCCCTTATAAACCATCCAGCTATTGGGGATCCCCCATTTATGGAAACGGTTCATATATTACTTTTTAGTTGGGATACATTCACCCTTACCACAACACCTGCGCCGTCCGTTTCCGCCTGCCACACATCCAGCAAGCTCGCGCGGCGCGCCCACTTGAAATGTTTCCTGAGACAAGCTGCTGGGATTGGGAAGAAATTGTTACCTAGTGGTCAGTGATGGATATCTGACATAGATGGTGTTTGATGGTTATTGAATCCCCCACCCAAACTGGTTCAGGAGTAGGGGAGTGGATCCTACATTTTTTCAAATGTATGGGAACCAGGGGTGGTCAACCCTTCACTTTTTGCCAAAAAGGTATGGGGATCAGCGGGGGGTTAACCCCTCAAAGTGAGGCATGTATGAGTGTCAGAGGTGGGAAATGTATGCTTTGTAGGGGGTACCCAGGAACCTCCTAGCAAGATGTATAATTAAAATCAATTTGCCAAAAATTGTGTGCTTTTCGTATACCCAGCCCCCCTAACATACTTTTTCTTTGTCAATACCGTGAAGGGCATTCCCCAGAAAAAAATGGTAACATTCCCGGGGATGCCCGGGGGATCCTGGAAAAATCAACCCCCAAAGATCCTGGGGCGGTGGATGTCCCGACCCATGGATCCTATTTTTTTCAGACGCCCCTCGTCAAAAAATGTATTTAGGGGGGATCCTGAGGATTTTGGAGGACGATAAATGTGTTTTTTTTCCTAACCTCCCCCCCTAAAACACATTTAGGGGTGGGTGATGTTATTGATTCATTGATGATTCCCTTCTTCATTGATGGTTATTGATGGTTTTTTGATTCATTGATGGTTCTGGATGATTCTTGATGCATTAGTGGTTCTTAATTGAGTTTCACTAGCAATACCCTCCCGTTGTTAAACGATTTCCGAACCCGAAAAAATATAGACATATGTTTGTAAAGATTGACATATGAGCGATTGTGAAAACCCTAGGTTCACGGAAAGGACATCCACAAATTTGGGAAGGTCCCATCGCTTACCACACGTTTGTACAATAATGATATATGGTAAACTTGGGGGGTATCGCTTGCAGGAAACTGCTGCATTTATATATATATATATATGTGTGTGTGTGTGATGAACTATGAATAATATGTGATATTTGGGTATCGCTAATGTGGATATTAGAGAAATATGATGACATAACCTTGAAAAGGGGTATCGCTAATTTGGGAAGGTCCCATCGCTTACCTCGTGTTTTTAACAATTTCCATCAATTTCCATAAACCAATGTCCGTCGAATACATATTTAGTATTGCCGGGGGTTTTACGGTTGCTCATATAACTGATGATTGTATCAATAGATGGTTTATCATGTTCGCAAATAAATCGTAAAGACTGGAAACAACTGGATGAATCAGCAATCTTTCATCATCCATAAATCTGCCATAACTTCATCCATTTCTCCCTTCGCCAACGGTGAAGAATTCGCCAAGTCGCTCATCACCAAGGCTGTTCAGCCTCGATCTACGGTTCCAAGGAGGTAACCCCCGAAGCATGGTCGGCATGGTCAAAAAGCTGACAGTTACAAGGTGGTGCCCCAGTTCGTTAGCTAAGTTGGTGAACATAACTTCCATAACTATGGTTTATGGCAAATATAACTATACTTAATGGGGTTTATAAACCAACTTATAACTGGGGGGCACCATCCTGTATATATTTGAGATGATAAGAAAATCCAGTAACTCCAGTAACTTGGGTTTATGGTAATAGATGGTAATAGATATATCTATAGTTAATTGTGTTAGTAAACCCATTATACCATACCCTCTGGTAATTTGTTACATAGCTATTGACATACCCCATAGAAATAATTGATTTACCTATTCAAAATGGTGATTTTCTATAGTTATGTTTTACCAAATGGTAATTGAGATGATAAGAAAATACCAATACCATGATTAGAAAAAGTAATGATTGTCAAAGTCTCTGGGTGATGGGCCGAGTGAGCCAAATAGCCCTATCCCATCTCATTCTAGTGGGTTGATAAGTTTTCCCAGCATGGATTATGATAATCCCCAATAAATTAGGTAGTACAATTCCCTATAATAACCAATCAACAAAGGTATTTTTAATGGTTCAAGTGTTGTTGAAGCGATTCTTGTTCTGTTATTTTTGGCACAATCCCAGCATCTTGCTGATCAGTTCTCCTATTTTTCAGGTTGATCAAACTCTGCGAACATCAGTTTCTTAGTTACCAGCCCTCCAAATTGACATGACGACCCTGCAAGTTGGGGGTTTGGAAGACTCCAAACCAGACTTCTGCAGTTGGGGATGGTAAGTCCGTATTCCTAGTGGCCAAGTTCCAAGTAATTGATGACCACTAAGAACCCTTGACAACCAACTCAGCTACCATCCATCATTTAGAAATCACCATCTATCATTTTTTTGTTTCGTTAAATGCCAGTATATCATGTAGAACTTAAATATATCAAATAATATATCAGATATTGCCAACTTCTACCGATATTTTTTGCTAGTGTTTTCTACATGGTATTTAACCAACTCGCCACGGCACTGCTGCACAGACTGGTCAAAGCAGGATGGACCCTCAGAAGCCTCTGGAGGTAACAGGGCCGTCCTGGCAGGCAGAAACTTCCATCGGAGATGTTGATAGATTTGCATATAATACACACACATGTATATATATATATATAGATGAATAAGGATAACCCACTAAGGTGAAATAACTCACTTTTCTTTGCCGTTTTGAGTTTCACCCCAGCGTGTTGCGAAGGTGAGGCTCGCTCTTTGTGTTAAAATAGTTAACTTATGTTAACTTCGTGGAGTACAATGTCATTCCAAATGAAATAAGGCTATATTGGAAAAACGTGATCCCTTAGCCAAAGGATGATGACAAAAACACATCAAGGGGCTTAACTTCTTGCTTTAAATATGGGATTTCATGGGGCAAAAGTGGGATATAACAGAACTATCCAACTTTCCAGGGGAGCAACCGCTATCCAACTTGCCTACTTCTTGCAGGCCTGGGGGCATCAAAAAAATTATGGCCTGAAAAAGATGGTAACGATGTGGGATTTTCACGACCAACTTGTTGGGATTTAAAAGCCCTTAACACCCCTATGCACCTATGGTTACATAACCATTCATTAGTGAAACTGCACCCCCAAGTGTGTATGCATATATAATGGTAATTATATATAACTACAAAACAATGGTATGGTTTAATATATTATGGTTCATTTTTTTAATAAGCAGTTATATTATTTTTAATTAGTTCATATATCATATATATATAATATGATATGGTAATCATTAAAACATGAACTAATTAATTACTTGTGGACATGTCATATTCAACAACCACTAAGATGGGAATGTTGTTGGAATTTCCAGATCTATTAGCCAGGATGACTATATATATTCTCTCCCTCTCTGAGAATGTATGTAACTAACGTTTGAATAAATGTCAATATACAAAGGCTATATACATTTGAAAAACATTGCGTTATATATGCAATTATTATGTACATATATATGTATATAACACAAGCCCGAGAAAAATAGAACACTGATTTGCCAATTTTAGGAGTTGGTTTTACTTTTCCATGTTTTTTGGGGGTGCTAGACATAGTCATCCTGGAATAGACACATGGTTGTTCTTTTTAACATCATTTAGATCAATCTTCTACTTGCCTCAGAGCTTGGCTGGAGGAATTCTAAGTGTTGGACCCGGAAAAACCAACAACAAACCATAGATTGCATGTCACAGTGTCACACCAGCCTGCCTCATTTTATAGAATGACACAGTGTCATGTATGGTTGACTTGGTTCCAGCAGTAGCACGAGGAGGCCAGGTATAGGTCTTTATCGAGCACTACCAAGAGAATTACCTCAAGAGCACAATTTGATATAAGTTCCAAATTCATTTGGATAATAGTCATAGCCAAGGGATGCCAAGGGCATCTTCATCTATCTAAACCAGCCACACATCTGGATGCTTGCTACGGTACCAAACCTGCTTTGTTGGTCATTAGTCCTTGGGGAGGTTGGCCATAAGTTGTTCGCTGTGGTATTTTGACCAACGTCTTCAAGTGGCTTGAAGTTGTAGGAAATGCATCGGGTGTTGGAATGCTAAGGATATTCAAGAGAATCGTTTTTTTTACACTCAACACAATGAACACTTGAAGCCAAGGTGTCAAGCCCCTCAAAAGTATGACTTTCTGCATATCTAAATGGTTCTGAACCATCTGAAGAAACAACTCTGGGGCACCCCATCTCGTTGCAGATTGAGCCAATCCTCGAATCCTCCCCACTTTCTGTTCCTCACAGCTTCATCCTACCCACTTTCTCAATGACTCAGGCATGTGTTGGCTGCAATCCGAGCCGCCAAATCAATGGCAAGTAGAAGGCAGAACCTCAGGGCCGCAGGTCATCTGCTGGTTGAGATGACCGCAGTCGGGGGATTGGAATTACGATGGAATGCAAGAGAGCACCCTTTTTTATCATCCAATGTGGCAAACCCAATGTCATGAACCTGATTTATACGATCCATTTATAGTGAATTTTGGGATGGTTGATTATTGGCACCACATTAATCATCACCTTGGGACCTGCACTTGCGGTCGAATTCCATTGCCAATTCTAGCTCAACAGCCAATGGGATATTGAAAATCATGAATCTTCCTGAGTTAAATAAAGGCTCCAACAGTGGCTAGCCAATCTTTCCGCAACTAAAAGTTATGGTTTTCCTCCGCAAACATAACCGGTCTTTTGGGTGGACCAAGCAAGGGGTTCAAGATCATTAACGTCAAACTACAAAACAATCATCGTGACATAGACGCGTTGTTTTATCATCGTTCAATCATCTAAAAGCATCACATGCTTTCCGTAAATGATCGCACATCTCCGCCAAAAAAACATCAAAAAAGGCGGACAAAGTGAGAGGAGCAGTTTTTTGCAAAAGGGTCTACTTTTAACTACCAGTTGGGTAACTGGTACTGAGAGGAAACAAAAGCAGGGAGGCGTCCCTCGAGCAGAACTCTTCAAAATAGTGATATAAGTAAGACTTTTGGAATCTTGAAAAATCCAACCAAACGACGGTATGGAAGTTCTAGGTTTATATACAGCATATAATTATATATATACACCATCTGGTAATCAAACATGGCAATGGAAAGTCTCCACATTTGAGAGGATTTTCCAGCTTGCGACCTTTGATGACACCAGAAGGTATATCATCACTATCCCATTGTATATCATTATATCCCCATTCAACCACAATTATACCACGGTGTTTGTAAAATTATCATCTTCCCCAAAGTAAAGCGAAGTAATGTTTGTTAACGGCTTATTCATATGTACTAATGGTTCATAATGATCAAAAAAATAATAAATCATACTTATAACTATGTTGTTATTGGTGCATCATGATCATAATGAGTCATTAGTGAACGTTTTTAATGTGTGCTTATTATTCCAACATGACTCATGACTAACCATGATGATTACTGGCTAATATCAATCACTAAAACCAATCATTAAACCATCATTGTAATGCAGGGGAAAAATGCCATAAACCGTCCCCCAAATCACCATTTTTTATAGGTGCTAAGTTTACCATTCCCAGTCATGGTTGGTTTATGGCATTATATGGCATTGTTTTACCCACATGAAATGGCAATTCTGAATCCCAGAAATGGAGATTTCCTAAGTCATGGGGGTACCCCCAAAATCGTTCATCTAAAAAACACATTTTCCAGTACAGTATAAACCACCCAGCTATTGGGGTAATGTCTACCCCGGATTAATGAACTATGGTTTATTAATTAGGGGGTATTCCCCAGTCCCTATATGTGTTATTACATCATCATTATCTCCAGTAAACTATATATATGGTAGCATTACTATAAGTCCCACACACATATATATATATAGTCCCATAATCTCCTATATGTTACAGTCGTTGCCCCAATTATAACACGGAATTAGGAATACAATAGTACGGTAGAATACCGTACTTTCGTACTCCTCCGGATCCCGATTCCGCGCGGATTCGGATCCTGTTCTATAATTATTTTTTGGCTGTTCTATAATTAATTTGGCCCTTCTATAATTCTGGCACTGACTGCTGAGGCTTAGATATTATTTTAGATACCCTCAAATATATATATATATAATTAATCCCTTCTCCCTATTACTAAACCACCCCCAAATATTAAAAACTAGGGTCCATCTCCAATTTCAGAAAATTTCAGATTGGCCAATTTGACTTTTAATTGATCCCCTTTAGAAAACAATTTAAAAATAAAGCTACCATTTGTGGGTTTTCCCCCCTAATACTAAAAACTAGTTCACCCGGGGTGTTTATTATTAGGGTCCGTCTGATTTTTTAAATTTTTTATACTAAGGTTTTTAATTTATTTAGTATTAGGGGGAAGCTTCAAAATCCAATTTTTGGCAATATCTTAATTGCGTTATATAAAGAAATTCAATTGATTTTGAGATCGGAAAAAATAATTTTTATTATTAATGGTTTAATTTTATTAATAGGGTGCCCTAATAATAAATACCCCCCTAATACTAAAAACTACCTGCCGTGTTTATTATTAGGGGGGGGTCTAGTAACTAGGGAGAAGGGATTAATGTATATATATATATAAATACCACACAATACATCTACTGTGGACGTGGGGTGCCCTTTGCGAGCTCCTGAAACGCACATTTTTCATAATTTTTCCATAAAGAGCGGTAAGAAACTGAACAATTCAGAGGACCCGCCAGATTTTTGGCAGAGAAGACAGCTTTCTGTTCTTTTGTGATCACTTCTGCGCTTTCTGCGCTTGAGTCCTTTTATTTCCATATGGATTCCCAGGGCAGAGAAGACAGCTTTCTGTTCTTTTGTGATCACTTCTGCGCTTTCTGCGCTTGAGTTTTTATTTCCATATGGATCCCAGGTATTGTTGTGAATGCTTTTTTAAACCTGATTTCAGCAAGATGGCCCCCAAATGCTTACAAGGTTGCCATGAGAATCATAAGAGCAATGATTCTACATAGAAACCAGAATTATAGGATGGGGTTATTGCACATTTAATTATAGAACGCGCAATTATAGAACAAAAAAGTTAGGAGTAAGCTGAGGTTGAGAGTAAGTTTTCTCCCAACGTTCTGAGGAAACAGGAATTATGGAAAAACATGGTACGGTAAACAACCGTACTTTCGTACTCCTCAACTTCCGTTCTATAATTGTGGCACTGACACTATATATTATATATCATCATTAACCCATCAGCTTGAGACCAAGCCACTTCCAAATTTGACATTACTCTCTGGTAAACTAACATAATGTTGACCTCCGATTTATCAATAGGGCCCCCCCTCTTTGCCCCTAAATAAAGTTAAAGCCACCATCAAACCTGTTTGTATGTACTGGTTTTCAATTACCACAATTTAAAATGAAATATAACATGCAATTTACAATAAAAATGGGGAATCCAACAATTGTTTTAGTAGTGATTTAGCATTCATTTCATGGATTTTGTATTGATTTAGTATTCATTTCTTGATCAGCGGGAGGGGGAAGCTCAGTAGCTTTATTCAGGGTCAAACTCTAATAAGTGCTAAGGCACCTCATGGGGGGTACCCTTGATGAGTTCATTTGGGAGTGATTTTGGATAGGTTTTACATAAAGGATTTGAATAGAAAGAGCATCCATTATTTTGTAAATTTGAAGCTACCAAGGTAAGATCTAATGAGCTGGCAGTATGAATTAGTACATGAAAGCCACCTCAAATAAAACATGGACAATTTTGTTCAGCCCCATCTGGGCAAATCTGGGTTTAGGGCCAAAAAAAAATTAGCTTTATTTAGGGGTAATTTATTATTTGGTTTGGGAGTTTGCTTAGCTTTATTTAGGTTGAGTTTTTAAATCGTAGGTGAACATTAGCTATGGAAAATCACAATTTTTACAGCAGTGGTTAACTTGGTTCAAGAGCTATACTCTGTAGAGGGCCTAGAGGGTATATACGTATATACATATAGCTTCCGCATTTATTTACAACATATATGGGCAATATGCGTCACATATGCCCCAACAATTGTTTTTTCACATATGTGCAAATGTCCGTAAGATCTGATTTTATGTAAATAAGATCTTGCGGACATATATTATATGTCCGTAAGACCTTATTTACGTAAAACAAGATCTTGAATCTTAAATATATGATATGTAATACATAAATGTAAGGCATATGTAATGCATATGCAACTGCAAATGTGTACACAAATGTCTACATGGATATATGTATATGATCATGTCCGCTTGTACTCTACAGAAACCTGGCCCACATAGCTCTTGAATCAAGATAAAGCAGTGGATAAATCAACTATTTCCATGTGCCATTTTCAATAGCAAACCGTAACAAATTACCAGAGGGTATTCAATTTGATGGGTTAATAATATATCTCATTATTTGACATTAACCTTCCATCACATTATCCAAAGGGGAAAACTATAATTGCCACTTTCCATCTATCATCATGACCAGTTGGGATTATGAAATTCCTAACTGAAGGGGAAAAAAATCATGTTCCAAACCACCAACCAAATCATGTAATAAAAATTAATTGGAGGATCATTCCACTTAGTAACTGGTTATGTAACAAATTACCAGAGGGTATAATGCTGGTATTACCCTCTGGTAAACTAACGTAGCTATTGAAAATTGCCATTTGTGGTTGATTTACCTAGTAAAACCCATCATGTTGAGACCAAGCCACTTTCCAAATTTGACATGATCAAACTAGCATATAAATTACCAAAGGGTATGGTATAATGGGTTAACCCAATTAACATCAAGTAACTATAGATGTATCTATTACCATAGACCCAAGTTACTGGAGTTATGTAACAAATTACCAGAGGGTAATATAACTATCCCATATCATATATATATATTCCCATATCATCCCATTCTCCATTCCTTCGTTCGTCCACCTTGAAATGATCGTTGCTGGGGTACTCCACTATTAGCCACTATTAATCACTACTAACTATGATTCACAATCATTGGGATGAGCCACCTTAAGTAGTTACCCATGCTTCGTAATGTCAACCCCGGATGAATAAACCATGGTTTATGAATTAGGGGGGTATTCCCCCAATAGTCATGATTTGATACTTGTTTATAGCACCTTCCCAATTAAACAGCCGTAAACGGGGTTTGGGGTTTATTAATCCAGGGTTGACATTAGTTACTATGTTACTGTAATGGGATTCAATCAACTTACCCTGCACTAAATTAACATAGACCCAGGCAGATACGGGTTGGAAGATTAGTTTCCACCAAAACTGACTTGTTTCCAGGGTTGACATTACCCTCTGGTAAACATACAAAAAGCTATTGAAAATGGCCATAGAAATAGTGGATTTTCCCATTAAAATAGTGGATCTTTCCATAGCTATGTTAGTTTACCAGAGGGTAAGTCCCTTTGGAACGGCCACCTTTGGAAAGCTCGACCTCAGCAGCAAGGCACCGCTTCTGGGTGCTCGACTCTCGGGCCAATCCGCCGCCACGGTGAGCTGCGGGAACGCCTCCACGACACGCTGCGGGTGGACCCGCGTCAAGTCCTACGTTTCGCGTTTCGCAACGCGACGTTGGATCCTCCAAAGATCACCAAAACAATGGGGAAAGGCTACTTGCTAGGCAAATTTGCATCAAAACATAGGGATTCACCTAGAAAAATGGGGAACATATGGGAAAATAATGATTTTTAGCCAAGAAAATGGTGATTTTCCAGAGTCGAAATTACATTTTTTGGTGGTTACCCTAAAGTAAATATACAAAAAAATATACAAAAAGATCTGGAAAACTCATGAAAACCCATGGTTTTCTCGTTCGGAAAATGATCTACTTCCATGGTGGGTTGAACCCACATCTTCTTGTATGTTTTCAGGAGGGTAAATTAACTCTCAAATAATGCTGATTCACCAAGAACAAAATGGCCAAAGAAAATGAGGATACTCAAAGCGAAGTTGCTGGACACAACTACAATACCTGGGGGGGTGTCTGAGGGATATATCGAGCTACATAGTTAATGATGTTAAACAACTTAAATGGGGTTTGTTTCACACACTTGGATGTACGTTCCATGTATTCATGGTTCTGGAACCATAGGATAAGTATACTTGGATATGCATCCCACTTAGTAAGTGGCTTATACGTGCAACAAAAATCCATAACCCATACGTCATAGCTGTAGAACATACCATTTTTCGTGGGACAAATCACAATTTTTAGTGGCTTTGAGTGGGTAAACTATGGAAAATCACAATGTTTAATGGGTAAGTCAACTATTTCTATGGCAATTTAACCAATAGCAAACTTTGCAAACTGTTGAATTACCAAATGTCAGACTAGAGTTAATGTCTGTGTTAGGATAAATGTCAGAGTATCTCTTGGTAAATCTGTTACAAACACGTTGGAATTAATGATAATAAACCACATGTCATAATTTGACATAACCTATGATAAGAACAAAAAACAGGATACTATATAGTAGCATTGCCAATGTTAGATACCCTGCAAACAAATTAATTATTGTCTGGTGGAAGTATGTATTTCCATTGAAATCGCACAAAAATGAAGGATAAAACTACCCATCCAGTTGGCTAACCTAGGTAGAATTAGTATACGCAGGCTGCGCAGGATTATGTTGCCAAGATCTTTTTATTCCAGTGGGCTGTACGGGTTCCATGCCAACACCGACATGGGAAAATGCCCCTCTTGGAATGGTTAGTAACGGAATTCCCCGTGGGTGATCATATTGGAGAGTGATCATCTCAAATACACTCTGGTCAACTAACACTTCGCGAACTGGAGAATCACAATCTTTAACTTCGGTAAATCAACTACCCGGCCTGGTAAACAGTTACAGTTTGCGAACTTGAAGCCATGGCCCATTTAGTTCGTTGATTTACCCATCAACAGCATGGTGATTTTCCAGTTCGTTATGTAACAGTTTACCAGGCCGGGTATTTCTATGGGCCATTGGAATCCATTTGACCCATAGCAAGGTGTAACAAATGACCAGAGCCAGCCCGACGGCGCGCCATCATCCGGTCCTCTAAGGTGAGTTTGATCTTCCCAGAACTCTGCGCGGCGTCCCAGGAATCGGCGCCGCCAGCATCTTTACCTCGCCCAAGGCCGTAGAAGGTAAGGTGGCACCCCCAGTTGTGGTTGTTGGTTTATAAACCCCATGAACTAAAGTTGTAAGTTGGTTTATAGCTCCCTAGGCAGCTAAGTTGGTTTATAACTCCAGTGGTGCCCCCCCAGTTATAAGATGGTTTATAAACCCCATTAACTATAGATATATCTACCATAAACCATAGTTCTTGGAGTTCTAAACCAACTTAGCTGTCGAACGGGGGCTCCACATTGTAGATAGCCTGCAAACAAAAAACTTCTTGGATGGCGGGACGGTGGAAGTAGTGTCGGGTCCACCCCTCCCTTAACAATTCTTAGGTCCTCTTTAATATGGAAATGTTGAAGATTTCGATCCTGAATAGTGCGTGATCAAAAACAATTGATAGATTTCAATTGATTTCAATTGATTTTCAACTGATTTCAAGTTACGTTCAATTGATTTTCAATTGATGCCAACTTACTTTCACTTTATGTTCAATTGATTTCAATTTAGTTTGAATTTATTTCAATTTACTTTCAGTTGATTTTCAACTGATTTCAATTTACTTTCAATTGATTTCAATTTACTTTCAAATGATTTCGATTTACTTTCAATTAATTTCAATTTACTTTCAACTGATTTCAATTTACTTTCAATTGATTTCAATTGATTTTCAATTTACGTTCAAATGATTTTCAATTGATTTCAATTTACTTTCAATTGATTTCAACTTACTTTCAATTGATTTCAATTTACTTTCAATTGATTTCAACTTACTTTCAATTGATTTCAAGTTACGTTCAATTGATTTTCAATTGATGCCAACTTACTTTCACTTTATGTTCAATTGATTTCAATTTAGTTTGAATTTATTTTCAATTGATTTCAACTTACTTTCAATTGACATCCCATAGTAATCCCATAGACATATCATAGAAATATATTTGAACATCCCATAGGAATCCCACAGAAGTCCCATAGAAAAATCATAGATATAACATGGACATAGCATAGGAACCACAAAGAAATCCCATAAGAATTCCCATAGAAATAGCATAGAAACATCATGGAAATACCTTGGAAATCCCACAGGAATCCAATAGAAATCCCACAGGAATCCAATAGAAACCCCACAGAAATATCATAGAAACATCATAGAAATACCATAGAAATCCAATAGGAATCCAATGGAAATCCCATAAGAATACCATAGAATTCCCATAGCATCCCTTCAGAAATCCCATAGAAATCCTCCAGAACTATCATAGAAACATCATGGAAATTCCATAGGAATCGCATAGAAATCCAATAATAGTAATACCATAGAAATACCATAAAAGAAAAACTTTAGCAAAGGAAAGGTAAAGGGAATGTTTGAACAAAAAAAATCACCTCAGGAAGCAGCTGGACACAATAGTGGACACAAAAACAAGCATACTATTGTGGATCAGGGTTGCTCATGGACTACCCCTTTGAAAAAAAAGTTTGGATGCCATTGGATGCTGTTTTTTTTAATTGGGTTTTAATAAGGCATCCTATAATAAATAATTCTTACTGATGGGTCATAATTAACCTTAAAAAAAATGTTTCTTCAAACAACAGCTAGACACAATAGTGGATCCCCACAACAACATATTATTTAGGATCAATATTGCTCATGAAAAAACATAAAACAAAAACTAAAAAAACTAATTTTAAAATGATTAAAACATAATAAACGACGATTAAACAATTAAAATAACTTAAACCAAAAAAATAAAACAATTTAAGAATAAAAAACATATTAAAAAACTGAAAAACTTACCCCAAAATCCTGGGGACACAATAGTGGCACCCTGGATCATGTCCACAGAGCCAAAATTATTTTTGAGTCTGGGGACACAATACTGGATCCCCACACTAATCAGGAGCCAGCATTATTGAACATGGCCATTTATAGTGGATTTACCAATGAAAAATGGTGATTTTCCCTGGTTACGTTAGTTTACCAGAGGGTATCCCATCCAGTTGCAAAACCTAGACCTGAGGATAAAAAAACATGCTCTCATGTGGGAAAGTCAATGCTCCAACGGCTCGGCTCAGAACCAAATGGGCGCAGAACTCTCCTACTCTGTGGTGCACATTGGTGACCCGTCAGAAAGCCAATGGATGGTTAAAATTTTGTTTGGTGATTTGGGAATAACCATCACATATTTTCGCATTGTTATGTTATTGTTATTGCAATATTCTTATGAGTGTTTTTTTTTGTATCATTACCACTATTTTTGTTCTTATTGTCATTGTACATAGTATATAGTGTAGTCAAATGCCACCCAGGTAGAATGGGTTATAAAACTAACACTGGATACTACCAACCAGTTGAGGCTAAGGGTTTTAGTTCACCCTGGAAACCTTTCCACCCAGAAACAAACGCTTACCCGGGTTCCAACCATTTGCAGGGATTTTTCACCATAAGGAAACAAATAATATTACTTGCTTACGTGGCCAATCTTAGATACCCTGGTTTCAGAAACAAAAATAGCTGGGTCAGTATAGACTATTCCTTTTAGCACAAGCTAATTTATGTATCTATACCCAGCTATTACTATACACTTTTAGCTTAATACAAATTATATATAGACTTAGCAAACGATCAAAAACCCATCACTAAAACTACGAGATCCGTTCAGCCAAGCTGCTTTTGCCGCCCTTCCCACGACCTTTGCCTCAGCAAATCGGAGAAACATCTGGGGATCTTCGGAAATCTGCGTTGGCCAACAAAACTGGTGGGTTTTTTAACCAACCAGAATTGGAATTTAAGCATCAACATCCGCAAATGTCAAGGTTTTTTCTTGCAAACTTGCCATCTAAATGATGAACATGAGGGATGGTTCTTGCCCAATTTCCTCTCAAACCAGTGCAATGCTCCCATGTCAAGGAGTCTAATAGCCAATGCTCAGGTAGAAACAACTATCCCGGAACATGTGCCCTTGGGAAATGAACCGTTGCTGGATGGAACATATGGAAATCATTGGACATCTGAGAAAATAAGAACTCAGTTGACTCAATGGTATTTTCCAGCCAGTTGGACTACCATAGGTCAAAATTTCATCCTCCGCCCAGAAAATCGTTGCGCCATCACTGCGAAAATTCTTTGGGAGGATTTCCCATTGCCGTTACTGGAGGGTATTCCGAAAGGGTAGGTGCGGCGGAGCACTCGGCCAAGCGCACAACGCTGGAAGAAAGGCGCAGATCTTCGGTTTGGTGCTTAACCCACCAACCGCTCGTGAATTGGGACGATCCCTATAACTGTGTTGATAGATAGATAGATAGATAGATAGATAGATAGATAGATACAGATAGATACAGATAGATAGATAGTTAGTTAGATAGATAGATAGATAGATAGATCATATATGTTTGAAACCACGCCACCAGCTGGATTTGGTTGATCTTGGTTGCAAACAAACGTTTTCCCATGGAACATTGCCATGGCGGCAAGGGAGAAAATCAGCCCAAGATGCCCCCTTTGCCGCCAGCGCTGTAACCCATGGCGACGACAGGAGACTCGCGACGCCGTTTTGGCGTCGCTTTCCACGCGGTTTGGTAGGGACCTAAGTGCGACAAAACATGCGTGTACGTTGAATCAATGTTTTGGGGGCCACTTCTGTTGATTCCAAACCGTTTCATGCCATTGCGCTGTCTTTGGGATGTCCACCAGTGAATGGCCATTTCAGAATAATAATCAAACATGTACCAAAATATGTGATGGCCCCAACAATGGCATAGCGCCTCCATCTTTGAGATTGACTAGGCAAATGATATCAGCATATATCAACCCCCCGGTGACGATTTACCACAAAGGGCTTGGCAAAGCTCATCAATTGTGACTCCGCCCCTTAAAATGAACTGCTGTTGGGGTTCCACATCAAACCTAGGACCTAGGAGTGTTTCCGACTGTTTCAGTGTTTCTCTTCATGGTTCCTGCTTGAAGCCAGCTCAACCCTCAACTCTTGCGTATCATGTCCCAATCCGGCATGCATCTACCCGAGGCTCAAACGGCAGAATTGACACCACATGGTCAACATCAATGGAAGTAGCTTTGCCAGAAATGGAGGGGACTCAGTCACTCAGCACTTCACAAACAATGAGTGATGAGTGTAAAACAACCATAAACCAGCCATATGGCAGTGTGTCAAAACCTTGTACCCCTGGTGAACATCAAAATAGCTGGTAAATGGATGTTCATCCCACTAAAAATGGTATGTATAGGTATGGATCCATAGCCATATGTTGATGGTTTATGGCACAATGTTGAAGGATCCTTTACGACATTACGAACGCCCCTGGCCGCCGGCGCCACCGGCACCCTCCGGCCCCTGGCCGCCATTGGTGTGGCGCCTACACCCAGCTGGTTGGAGGACATAAAGCCACTTGCCAAATAGTTCCCGGTCTCAGATGAGCCATTAAAAATACCCACCCATCTCATTATACTAGTTGGTTGATAGGTTTCCCTACTATGGGTTGTCATAATCCCCAGTAAACCAGGTAGTATAATCCCCTATAACAATCAATTAACCAGGTATTTTTAATGGCTCAGATGGCAAAGGCGGACGTCGGTTTGGGCCAGCCAGTGGGTGCCCAATGGCGTGAGCTTTTCGAATGCTAAGTTGGTTTATACGTGTTTATAAGTCATATAACTTAAGGAAACTTAAGGAAACTTAAGGGTAACTTGGTAGATGTCTCCAATTAGTGCATGAGGTTAAACATGGTGAAACTAAACCAACAAACAGAACTAGGGGTCACCTCCTTGTCAGGAGGTTAGCCGCCCAGGCATTGGTTTGTTGAGGGCTGACATTGAAGGGTTTAAAGAGAAACCACAGATTCAATATAGTGACGGACATATACTTAGAACATCATTTTTTTCCAAAATTTCGGAACCTTTTCTTAGAACATCAAAACAACTACACTTAGAACATCAGAAATGTTCTAAGTACGCACTTAGAATATCAGAAAAACAGATACTTAGAACATCTCCTTTGATTTTTTGCATACTTAGAACATTAAACACACATATACTTAGAACATGTCCTGTTACTTTGGTAAATCTGCATATATACACACAAATACCTTGGTGAACACCATACTTAGAACACTTTCTCCCCTCACTGCTGCAGCATTCTATACCTTTTCTTCGGGAACAATATCCCAAGCAGTCTTCGCTGCAATGGGAAGGTCTCTAGTATATAATTTGTGGGTTTCCTACAGCGGGTAGTCAAAAAGCATAGGTTTCAATACTAAAATTAGCTAAAATTAATTATGTATAATTTTGAATGTTTTGGAGATGCCTCATTATTGGTTCCCCACTGGGATGTTCTAAGTATAGCTTGGAAATGTTCTAAGTATAGGTTTTGGGTATGTTCTAACGACTTAATACTTAGAACATCCCCGCTGTGACGATTTTCAGATTTTTTTCCAAATGATGTTCTAAGTATTTGTCCGTCGCTATAAATAGTTATAGGTTGGTTTATAACCCCCATTAAGTATAATTATCTAGTTCGTTATATCTACCACAAACCATAGAACTCAGCCACTTATATCTCAACTGAACGCTATCGACTGGGGGCCCCATCCTGTAGAGATTTCAGGAACCTGAATTGGAGGTACCTACCATATAACGCCTATTTTTTAGGCCTATGTAAGGGAATATCCAAGCAAAATATGGCCTTATATGGTACTAACGTACCTCCATTTTAGGATCCTGAAGATCTCCCATTGAATTATAGGGTAAACACAAGTTTCATGGGTACACAACCACCATCCCCAAGGGTCACAGCAACAGCAGCAGGCGGAAGATGGCGTAGAACAAATTCTTTAAAAGTAAGATTTGCTAAGCTTAGATATTATAAGTAGGTGGTATATACCCTTCCCAAATGGGTGGTTTATGACATTGTTCTACTGCAAAATAAACTCATTGTACAGTTGCTAGCCGCTAGCCCTATTTTTGGCTGAACATTGAACCAGTCAACTATCCAACTATTCGGTTGAACCACCAAAATGCCGCGCCCAAAAAAAAAAATCCGCGGCTGAGAACAAGGCAAAGAGGGCCACTGCAGCCAAGGTTTGCGACAAGGACCTGATGGTGTCATGTTTTGCATTTCACCGAATCTATGCTGGGAGAACAATATGCAACATGAATATATATACCATAATATGGCATATTTCATTCCTAAGCAACAGAGAGAGTGGCTTCAAATAACATGGCCATATGTTGCGCTTGAATTTGTCACCATGAGGATTTCAGCCAACGGAACTGGGGATCTATGTCATTGAAGATAGTGGGAAACAAACGAATCAAAGCTAGGATTAGCCTCTGGTAAAACCAAAGGAAAACCATAGGAAAATGGTGATTAATGGTGATTAATCCATGATTTTCATGGTGATTAATGGTGATTACCCTCTGGTAATGACTTGACTAACAGTTTGCGAACTTGAACTTGAACATGGCCCATAGAAATAGTGGATTCACCCATTGATAGCATGGTGATTTTCCATAGTTATGCTAGTTTACCGGAGAGTATGGGGATTGCGGCAAAAAATGCGATCAACGCAACAAAAAACAATGATGTCGCCAACAAAGCAAGCGGGAACACTTGTAACGACTGCATGCTGATTACACATCGTTAAGCATTGATCTACACCTGGCGTTTTTTCCATGAAATCACCATTAATCACCATGAAAATCATGGATTAATCACCATTAATCACCTTTTTCCCCATGGTTTGTATATTTCCCCATGGCGGGCACCATCGCGACAATCGTCCGAACCCATGGCAGGTGACGGCTGTCGCTGGGAACGGGGGATCTCTAAGAAATCGTCGATCCTTGGCAGGTCATCGTTCACCAAAGCTCTGGTTTTAGGAACAGAAAGTGTGGCTTAAAACGCTGAAACATGTGAGAAAAATGTCAGAAAAAAATAATCTGTTACCGTCTGGTAATTTGTTAGGTATAGCTATTGAAGCCATGGCCATTCATAGTGGATTTTCCCATTAAAAATGGTGGATCTTTCTATAGTTTTTTGTATGTTTAAAGTTTACCAGAGGGTATGTTAAAATAAAATCGGAATGGATAATCTGATAGGATAGGATGGATCCTGTCCTATCCTATACCTGTTGGTCACTGTTCGGCAAATCCACAGCTTGCCATAACAAGCCAGCTTCAATCGCAACACCCAACTTTTTTTTTCGCAAGTTCTCTATCCCGTTCAAAGAAAATATAGGATAATTTTTAATAGAAATTTACCCTCTGGTAAACATACAAAAAACGATGGAAAAATCCACGATTTTATAGCTGGGTAAATCAACATCCTCCAGAAAGATTCTGCTGCTGAAACATCCCGGAAACATGGCTTTCTATGGGGACAACATTGTAGAAAAGTATAACGTCAACCCCGGATATTTAACATGTTCACCCTGCCTATTATAGAAAATAGGGCCTAGGGAGTTAGCACCAAAAGTGTGGTTCAAATTGTTAATGCCATTGGTATGCCTCCATTTGTAAACTCAGGAGTCTACTAGCCTCTATTTTCAACCAGGTTACCTTCCAATAACTAACCGTGGCAGGACAATCACCCATATTTTTGTGATTTTAAGCCATTTAACATCTTTAAATCACTATATAATCTATAAATATAAGGAATTTTTCGGCCACGCTTGATTACCGGCAAAGATCTGGTTTTAAGATGGCAACCCTTCACCAGGTCGAGCTCAAAGAACGAATCTCAGAATATATGGCAGAAAGGATGCCAAATGCCAGGAAACAATGCATACATACATAACATAGCATATGCAACATGACATATGTAACAAAACATAACATTACATTACACTACATTACATACATACATACATGCTATATATGATTCCAGATGGTATGTCCGAAACTATGTCAGAATAATTGTCAAGGTGGGGATCACTCGAAGTATTTGCAGCTGTTGCTCCTGCAATCTGTGAAGTATATTGAATAATATTGAACTATCTTAGACTATCTTATTATTTTGAAATATGGTGAAATACATGTTTTGAAAAACGCAAAATCAGTTTGGAAGGGCTTCAAATTTGCTTTCCAAATCTGCCCGCAAGCCAAATATCACCTTAAGGCTTAACAAATCTGCAGCCGGAATCCAGTCCTGGATCCAGGTTTAAGTGAGCCCAGTTGTCAAGAAACAATGTCTATCCAAGCGCCAACTCATTGCACCTATGGCATCGAAAATCTCTTTGCACCAGGGTAGGAGAAATGATGAGTGGCACAGTCATCCCAAAAACATGACATAAGTCAGGTTTCCTAAATTGCTAAGAAATAGCAGGGAAGTAACTAGGATTAAGATATACTAGGATTCCAAAGTCTCTTCCAATCACAAAGCTGGACCGCGAGGCAGCTAGCTTCGATTGTTCCAGTTTTGTCGCCAGATGTCCATATAGCCCACGGAAGTTCGTGCGCATGTGCCAGGATGCCGGTCAACTATTTGGGGATAAAATGATCTAAACTTACTGGTGCTAAACGCAGGGAATTTTCGGGAATGATCCATAATCACTAGTAATAATCATCCCA